CTGGGGGCTCATGGGAGGCATCCGGGGGTGGCGGCTGCTCTGGGCTGCGGCCTTGGGGGAGCAGCTCCCCTGGACCACACCTGGAGACTCTACCATTAGCAAAAATGACAGGGAAAAGGCCTCTGTAGCACTGTCCTGTGACTGTGGGCAGAAAAGGAGGCCTCGCTCCCGCTCAAGGAACCTTCTAGAATGCACCTGCCGCTGCTTGCAGTTCTTTTCTTGGTGGGGCCTACAGCAAGTTATGGGGTGACAGCGCTTCCCATAAGGTAGGAGAGAATCATCGCCCACCAAGCCCACAGCTCGGGGGCCAGCAGACAAAAGGCCAAACCCCTGCTCATATTCCAAACCAGTGGCCTTTGAACACCGTGCGCCTGCGGTTCAAAACTGTGCCTTGGGATGTGAGAACAGAGCTCGCAGGGACTAACATGCAAGTCAGGAAAGTGCTTCTGAGGGGCCCGACCCTCCGTGGGCTGCCGTGCCCCGCCGCACCTCCAGGCCACGCAACCCTCCGTGGGCTGCCACGCCCCACCGCACCTCCAGGCCACACAACCCTCCGTGGGCTGCCGCTCCCTGCCACACCTCGAAGCCACACAACTGAGCTGCTCTTTAGTAACCCAAGTTCTGCAACACTCCTTATTCTGATTTTGTATTCCCATTCCATTCTCCCACAGACTTAGTCCTAATGTATTTTATGCTTGGAATCCTTTGACAGCTCCCATACACTTCTGTGCAACAGAAATGTGTACAAAAATTGATCACAAGGCTCTAGGTGTTAAAAAACAATGATCCCGACGGAGAAATCATTACAATTAGTATTGGTATGCAAGTAGTCAAAATAACATAAGCATATTACAAAATAACATCAGCATGGTAATAACTAAATATAAAAAGTGAAATTTAACCCCAGTGAGATGGATCAGGCTGTAAACTGCCTGATTCTGTCGCTGTTCAGGGCGCCACTTGTAACCGCCCTTGATCCCTGGTGGACTGAACAAAGGGGGCAAACGTGGGCATAAAAGACAAGAGACAAGAGAGTATATATGGAAAAACGGGTCAGGGGCACCTTGCCTCTAGTGGACAAGGGCCCTGAGCTTTACACAGCCCTCCGTATTGACTGGTAAAAGAGACAGTGAGAAAGGGAGGGATGATTGTCAGGTAACTGGCAGTCTGCCCATTTGGTTCACAGCAGGCTCGAACAATAGGTGCTAGATTTCTCAGTAGATAACTTCAAGGAGTCCGGAGCCAGGGAGTGACCACCTTCAGCAAATCTGGCAGCAGACGCAGTCATGAGTTTTACTTACATCCTACATTCATGATAAACGGTTTGCTGTTTGATCATATAGCCTCCAGTGGAATGCTGAGTTGGTCACGATCCCTTTGGCCTTTCTGACTCTCAACATCAGGCTATTTGATTTTTTTTCAATCAGTTCATCCATCCATGGGATGACATAGATTCAGCATCAGCACTGTTCTTATTTTTTGTATTTATAGATCAAAACACCAAGGAAACCCCGTGCCCATCATCAAGCAGATGGCACCAAGAGTTCTGCCACTTGACTCTGAGCTCTTCTGAAGACTTCACCAGTCAGAGCTTGACAGGTTCTCCTTCACACGTGGCCCAAAGCCAGAAGAGAAGCCTCCCGGCCTGCAGGCAGCTTCGTGGGTGGCACGTGGCCTCCTCAACCTTGATGGCGGCACTCAGGGCTGTCCTCTGGCAGAGCCCTCACCAGGCAGCAGCTGATGAGAAGACCCAGATGATGACGGAAGCTCTGGAGACATTCCTAAGGTCCTGTGACTGTGTTTGGAAGGTCTTTGCATCTGTGCAGCTCAGCATGAGGGGCAGATCAGCAGAGCCACACTCTGGCAGCCTGGGGTGGTGAACTGATTGTTGCTGTCCTCAGGCTCATGCTCCAGTCTCACCGTGCATGGCTCCCAGCCCCTCCCTTGGCCCGGGGGGA